AGGCAGGGCCATGTTAAAAATGACAGAATAGGGGCTGAAGTCGTGCCTCAGTGGTAGAGCGCTCACCTGGCATGTGCGGGGCCCTGGGTTCAATCCTCAGCACCACATATAAATAAAGGTATTGTATGCAACTACAACTAAAAAATAAATAAATAAACATTTTTAAAAAATGACAGAATAACTGTCTCCATTTCAGAGCAGTGCTGTCAACCTCCCCTGGATCACTTGTTTCCTGAGGGAAAAAAAAATAAACTATTCCATTTAAACTGCCCAGTGTTGTGGGGGTCTTTGTTATAGCAGCGTAACTGTACTAATCGGTATACAAAGTGATATACAAAGCAGGTATCCCATGAGTACTTGCAGACATAGTTGTCCTCTCCACCCAGACACATCTTTTTATTCTTTTAGTTGTAGATGGATACAATATTTTTGTTTTATTTATATATTTTTGTATGTGGCGCTGAGGATCGGACCCAGTGCCTCATGGGAGGCCAGTACTCAGCCATTGAGCTACAACCCCAGCCCCAACCAGGCACATTTCACAAGAGCTTCATTTCCAAGTCACGTGGCAGACCCACCTCTGGATCTTAGTTTCTCACTAGGACCCAGAAGCTGGGGGTGGGGTTAGAGTGAGGCAAACAAAGCAATGGGTGCCAGACTTAAGGAGGAACTTACTTTCAGGCTTCTTCAAGGAATAGGGTTGGCACTGAAAAGGGAGTGCCTCCTTAAATTTTGTAACAAGGGTGACACTAGTACCTCCCTAAAGGCTTGTTCTTTGACCTAACTGCTACTGAACTCTGATTCCACTGCTAGGAATTCTTCCTGTGGAAATAAACCAACAGGTTTTTAAGCCATATGTATATAATGATAGTTTTCATGAAAAAGTATAGAAATATATAACCAAAACGACAGTCATCTAAATGATAATGGGCTGGTAGTTACCTTTGGAAGGTAGGATCACAAGTGAGTTTCCCCATTGCCTTTTTTAATGTTTTGCCACTTTCTGCACACTGCAAATAGCATTTTTGTAGTTGGTGGTGGTGGGGATATTATTTAACATAATTTTAAATTGTCCTTTTTTTTTTTTTCAAATGTGACTCATCAGGCTGGGACTAATGTGACAGGTCCATTATAGACAGGCTGGGACAAGCATGCTGGGCCTGGGCCTTCCTGAGGGCTTTGTGGGAGGAGATGTGGTAATTTGGGGGTACTGCATGGTACTGAGTTGCTCCCTGGGGGAGCTCAGCCTACCTGGCACCACTGTGGCTGGAGTATAGTCGATGGACTTGAACCTCAACTCTGCCATGTACAAGCCTCAGGATTTCAGGCAAGGCCTTTAGCCTCTGTGCTCAAGTTTTCACATCCCTACAATGGAGACAGCACAAATGATGCCTTCCTTGGGTGGTGTTGTGGCTGGAGTAAGAAAATGTGTATAAAGTGTGGACACAGCCTGGCTCACTCAGGGTAACTCGGGAGGTGGGCATTGACATTGTTATGGACACCCCCGCCTGGATGTGTCAGTCTGACCTCAAACACATCATGAATGTCTCCATGCCTGATCACTCCATTCTCCAAACCTGTTCCTTTCTGTGGCACCATCCCATAATGTCTTGAGCCAGAAGCCAGGTGGTTTCCCCAAATCCAAACCATTGCCCAGCTCTAGTGATTCTTCCTCCTGCTCTCCTGCATCTTCTGTGTGCTGTTGCTATCACCTCTTCCTTGGAAGAAGGGGTCTCCTCATTGTTCTTCCTGGACCCCACTAACTCTTCTCCTCATTGCAGATAGAGGAAACTTCAAATACAAACCCGATCTCTTCATGGCTCTGTTCAAAAGCCTCTCTGATTTCCAGTTGCATTAAGACATACCAGATGACCAGGACCAGCACAGCCTGACCCCTGGTCACCCCTCTGTCTCTGGCGTTCCCTCTCCTTCTCTGACCACCAGCCTAAGGTTCTGTCGGTTCCTCGCAAAGACCAGCGCTTTGCAGCTCTGGGGGCTCTGATCTGCTCCTTCCTCTGCTTGGGACCCTCTTCTTCTTCTCTTATTCTGGTTCACTCAGGCTCGCTCTCTCTTTTTAAATTTTTTGTAGCTGTAGATGGACAGCATGCCTTTATTTTATGTTATGCTAAGGATTGAACCCAGTGCCTCACATGTGCTAGGCAAGCGCTCTGCCACTGAGCCCCAGCCCCAGCCCTCAGGCTCTCTCTTTAGGCCTCTGCTGGATGCACTTTCCATAAAGAGGCCTCCCCAACCACACAATCTAAATCAGCCCTCCCTTTTATTTTCTCTTCCTGTACTTTTCTGCAAGACACTTTTCACAAACTGTAATAATGAACATGTATTTGTATGTTCCTTTAACATCTGTCTCTACTTTCAAATTAAAAGCTTCAGGCCAGGCCTGGTGGTGAAGTCCCGTATTTCTAGCCATTCAGGAGGTTGAAGCAGGAGGATTGAAACTTCAGGGCCAACCTCTGCAATTCAGTGAGACCCTGCCTCAAGATAAAAAACTAAAGGGCTGGGGATGTAACTCAGTAGTAAAGTGCCCCTGGTTCAACAATCCTTGGTACTAAACAAACAAACAAAACTTTCAGGAAAGCAGCAATTTTTTTCCTAAACTCTGTAACACCTAACATAGTGGCTGGAAAAAAATGCACACTCAGGGGGCTGGGGTTGTGGCTCAAGAGGTAGAGCGCTCACCTAGCATGCGTGAGGCACTGGGTTTGATCCTCAGCACCATATAAAAATAAATAAAATAAAACTATTGTGTTCAACTACAACTAAAAAATATTTATTAAAAAAAAAATCAACACCAGGCGCAGTGGTGCATGCCTGTAATCCTACCCTCCTGGAGCTGAGATAGGAGGATTGCAAGTTCAAAGCCAGCCTCAGCAAAAGTGAGGTGCTAAGCAACTCAGTGAGACCCTGTCTCTAAATAAAATACAAAATAGGACTGGGGATGTGGCTCAGTGTTTGGGTGTCCCTGAGTTCAATTCCTGGTAAACCCCCCCCCAAAAAAAATTCTACTGGTCCATGAAGACCCAAATCTGGGAAGTAGTACCCAACAGGGCACTGAACATGAACACAGAGCTGGGAGAAAATGTGCAGAATGAGCAAGATCCTGGAGCCTGAGTGAGTGACTCAAGTTCACCACTGGGTGGGGCTCAGATATAGCAAAACTCAGGAAGGTGGCAGGGCTAAAGCCTGAGAGATGCTTGTTCACAGTCACTTCTGTGTGACTCTTGCTTCCCACAGTAGCATGCAAGCACCTTGAGGGCACTGCCTGCTTCTGCAAACCCTGCAGTACCTGGCTTCTGCTGGGTCCCTCTCACCAGGGCGAATCCTGTAGAAGAGTGACTGGGTGAACTGCTTTTCAGTCACAGAATGGCAGAAACTTGAAATGACCTGAGTTCCTGCTGTTGGTAACTGAACTGCAGACAGAGATGTGGGCCCAGATGGAGGACACAGGGACAGGGGGATACATGGAGGGTCTGACTCGCACATGTCTTCATATTTTGCTTCCATCTTTTCCCTTAAGAGTTGAGAGATGAGCCTGGTGCAGTGGTGCATGCCTGTAATCCCAGCGGCTCAGGAGGCTGAGGCAGAAGAATCCCGAGTTCAAAGTCAGCCTCAGAAACTTAGTGAGGCCCTAAGCAACTCAGTGAGACCCTGTCTCTAAATAAAGTATAAAATAGGGCTGGGGATGTGGCTCAGTGGTAGAGTGCCCAATCTCCAGAACCCCCACCCCCACCCCCCAAAAAAAGTGTTGGGGATGTGGCTCAGAGTTCAAGCACCTCTGGGTTCAATTCCCAGTACCAAAAAAAAAAAAAAAAAAAGAAAAAAGAATGGGCATGTAGCTTAGTGGTAAAGCACCTCTGGGTTCAATCTCCAGTACAAAAAAAAAAAAAAAAAAGTTGATAGATGAGGGCCTACATGTGGAGAAGGAATAGAAGGGGAAATGTAAAGCTTTGTATTTGTCTACTAGGTCTTTTATAAATTGGGTGGCTGAGCAACAGGAATACATTGTCTCACATTTCTGGAGGCTAGAAATCCAAAATCAAGGGGTCAGCAGGGTTGATTTCTTCTGAGGGCTGTGAAGGAAGAATATTTCTGGACCTCTCTTCTTGGCTTAGGTGTGGCCATCTTCTCTCTGTGTCTGTTCACTTTGTCGTCCCCCTGTGTGTGTGTCTGCATACAGATTTTCCCTTTTTATAAGAACCCCAGTCATATTGGATTAGAGCCCATACCAATGACCTCAATTTTAACTTGATTATATCTTTTTAAAAAATATTTTTTTCTTTAGTTATACATGGACACAGTATCTTTATTTTGTTTATTTATTTTTATGTGGTGCTGAGGATCGAACCCCGTGCCTCACATGTGCAAGGCAAGCGTTCTGCCACTGAGCCCCATCCCCAGCCCTTGATTATATCTTTAAAGAGTGTATCTTCAAAGGAAGTTACATCCCAAGATACTGGGCTTTAAGACTCCAACATAGCTGTGTGTGTGTGTGTGTGTGTGTGTGTGTGTGTGAGAGAGAGAGAGAGAGAGAGATACTAATCAACCCATAATAGGCCTTGAGATTGCTTCTAGAAACTGTCTAATGGGAAGTGGTCCCCATCAGGGTCTTCAGTCACAGAAGTTGAGCTTAGTCTGCAGAGTGGTGCCCCTTTCATAAGTACCCTAGAATTGAAATGTTTTAAAAATATTTATTTTTTTAGGTGTAGATGGACACAACACAATGCCTTTATTTTGCTGAGGATGGAACCCGGGTCCTGCCCATGCTAGGCGAGCGCTCTACCATTGAACCACAATCCCAGCCCCTAGGATTGAAAATTTATGCTGTTAAGTGCAGGGCAGACCCTTCAGGGAGCAGTTATATAACAACTTTGTAATTGCACAAGAGGTTTCTTTGTGCAATTGGAAAATTCACAAGGCTTTCCAGTACCAATCAGGGCTATGTCCAAGGCCTAATAAGCATTTGAGTCCCTTTCTGTTTACAGGTGAAAGTGTATGGTTTCTGACTCAGGTGGCCAATCTTGGACAAGGTCTCTAAGGATTTCGGACCTTCAAAGATGTTCTGGATCTCTTCAGAGGAACCTGCTTGAATCCTGTTGAGTTTTTTTTTTTTTTTCACTGAGAAGTCTGGGTGGGGCTTCCCTTGCACAATCTACCTTTGTGACCCCCTTGTTTTTGCTATTCTGAAACTGAAGATGGAAATGAATGGCTTGCAATTTCTAGTCCCTCCCTGGCAGTGAGAGATAAAAATCTCATTAATTGACTGCATTAAACAGAGTCAGTAACTGATGTGATTAAAAATCTTAGCACTATTGATAAATACTTACCAAGTACGCATTGTGATCTAGGCATTGCAGAGGTATTTATTGAGCCCTGGTGTAGATTGAAAAATCAGATCAATTCTCCCCTCATCTGTGTACTCACAATGTTTGCAATGTGACTCTCCTTTCTTCCTATCAGGAGATGGAAGTCTCTTTCCTCAACTTGAACCTGACTTACATCTGTGTAGTTGACATAACTGTGAAAGTGAAGAAGTGTCCGTCTTGAGCCTACAGCTTGAGAGGATGTGCCCAAGTCCACTCTCGTTCCTGGGACCTTGCAGTTCCATTTGAGCAATCCTGGGCTGGCCTGCTGGTAGATGAGAGACAGGTGGCCCACTTGCCTCAGCTGACAGCCAACCACCCCCAGAAACAGAGGCTGCTGGCTGCCTGGCAACTGGTCACAGATGCATATGGGAGTCCAGCTGTGACTAGAACCACCCAGCTAATCCCAGCCTAAAATGCTGACCCAAATGCATTCTGCTGTCATTTATTTTTTTAAAAAATCAATAAAATAAAATGCTGACACATGAGACCAGGAACTAAAGCAGTGTTTGTTGTTTTAAGCTACTTCTAAGTTTTGTAATGTTTTATTATGCAGCAAAAGCTGACTGATACAAGCACTTATGAAACACCAAGCTCTGGTGTTTAAAATCAGAGTCTTGCTAGAAAAAGGGCTTGTACAAGTAGTTCACTCGTGGGTGTAATGCAGTAAGATGTAATGCTCTGGAGAAGTGGACATGGTAGGCATTAGAAGAGGTGGCCTTTGAGCTGGGAAGGAGTACTGTCCCTTTGGAGTTGAAAGGATTAAGATGGACTTCCTGGGAGAGGGGACTGAGCCAGGTAAGGAACGAGTGTGAGAAACCTAAGTTGAGATCAGGAGTCACAGTGTTTGTGGAGCCCTAACTATGGCCACACAAGCCCTGCACTGGCTCTCTCTATCTGGCCTAGCACACACAGAGGAAGACATCCAGATGTGTAAATTGGCCAGAAATGTAAGGCTAATTTTTGTTTGTTTGTTTTTGCAGTGCTGGGTAGTGAACCCAGGGCCTCAGGCACATTAAGCAAGTGTGTTGAGAGCCACAGCCGAGTCGGAATGGTCCCTGGCATTTTGCCAGTAGTATTGGTTGAGAGGCGAGCCATTGAGATGATGCTGGATTGATTCAATTGTATATTAGACCTTTATTGTCCACCTGGGCGCCCTCTACTTTGGAGTTCTCTCGAGGATTGCCTGGGGAGTTCTCCGTTGGTTGGGGAAGTTCAGGGAGAGGGAGTTCTGATTGGCGTGTGGTGTTCCTGGAGGAGCGCGTGGGTGGCATTTGGGAGGGAGTGTGCGTGGAGTGCTGTGGGAGTTAGGAAATAATGTTTGTTCCTGCTTGAGTGGCTCGTGATTTGTGCCTAGCCAGACTGCGGCACAAGTGCTCTACCACTGGGCTATACCCAGCGCTCTAAGGCTTATTTTAAGTGAAATAAAAATATCAGTGTCTGCTTTGTCCAGAGTAACAAGTCTCTTGGCTTCAGCAAAATTGACTCTACCAATTTGTTATTTATATTTGGTGCTTGGTATATATCTGGTGGGGGTGGGAGGAGTGGAGAGAAGATTGAGAGAGGGAGGCCTTCATAAGTCTTGCTGGGGAGGTTCAAGGGATCAAAAAAACCATAGCTGCTCAGGCTTCCGCTCAATTAGAAACTCCTTGAGGGCAGGGTCTGTGTCTGAGTTATCTCAGTGTATCTGGAGGCACAGGGATCTTGCATATCCTGGGCATTAGTTTTGAAAGATTTATTCTAGAGGTAATTTCCATTCTCTTCCTTTTCCTATAAACCCATTATACAACTTGGGTATCCCTTATCTGAAATGCTGGGGACCAGAAGTCTTAGATTTTGGATTTCTTTTTAATATCTGCACATACTTAATGAGCTATCTTGAGGATGGGACCCAAGTCTAAACATAAAATTCACTTATATTTCCTATGTACCTTACACAATCTATTTAGTGCACCTGCATTTTTTGTTCTGTTCCCCACTTTTTATTGGTGCATTATATATGTACATAATGATGGGATCTGTTGTTACATGTTCATTCATGCACACAATATAACAATATAATTTGGTCAATATCACTTCCTGGTACTTCCCTTCTTCCTCCTCGCATCTTACCCCTTGGACCCTTTCCTCTACTGATCTCCTTTTGATTTTTAAAAAATATTTATTCTTAAGCTTTAGATGGACACAATATCTTTATTTTACATTTATGTGGTGCTGAGGATCAAACCCGGTGCCTTGTGCATGCTAGGCGAGCGCTCCACCACTGAGCCATAACCCCAGCCCCTCTCCTTTTGATTTTAATGAGATTCCCTCCCCACACATACCTTTCTTTTCTTTTTCCTCTCTAGCTTTTACATATGAGAGAAAACATATGACCCTTGACCTTCTGGGTTTGACTTATTTCACTTAACATGATGTTCCTTTGTTCCATTCATTTTCCTGTAAATGACATAATTTCATTTTTATTTATGGCTGAATAAAACTCCATTGTGTGTGTGTGTGGTGTGTGTGTGTGTGTGTGTGTGTGAGAGAGAGAGAGAGAGAGAGAGAGGGAGAGATCTCACATTTTCTTAATCCACTCATCCATTGATTTCATAGTTTGGCTATTGCGAATTGTGCTGCATGGGTATGCCTGTATCACTGTAGTATAACTTTAATTCTTTAGGCTAAATACTGAGGCGTGGTAGAGCTAAGTCATATGGTGGTTCCATATCTAGTCTTTGAGGCACCTTCAAACAGACTTCTGTAGTGGTTGTACTAATTTACAATTCCACCAACAGTGGTAAAAGTGTTCCTTTTCCTCCATATCCTTTCCAGCAGTTATTATTATTTGTATTCTTGATGCCTGCCATTCTGACTGGGGTAAGGTGAAATCTCAATATATATTTGATTTGCACTTCCCTAATTGCAAATGATGTTTAACATTTTTTAAACTTTTACTTTTTTAATATTATCTTTATTTTTTTATTTTTATGTGGTGCTGAGAATTGAACCCAGTGCCTCACGCATGCTAGGTGAGCGTGCTACCACTTGAGCCACATCCCCAGCCCTGTTTAACATTTTTTATTTGTTGGTCATTTGTATTTCTTCTTTTGAGAAGTATCTAATTCATTTGTCCATTTATTAATTGGATTACTTGATTATTTTGAAAGTTTTTTGAGTTCTTTATATATTCTAGACATTACTCCTCTATCAGAAGAGTAGGTAACAGAGATTATTTTTTCCCATTCTGTATTTCTTCCCAGTCCTGTTTCCTTTGCTTTGCAGAAGCTTTTTCACTTGATGCCATCCCATTTATTAACTCTTGGTATCATTTCCTGAGCTTTAGAGGTCCTATTGAGAAAGTCTTTGCCTGTACCTATATATTGGAGTGTTGACCCTACCTTTTCTTTTAGGAGTTGCATAGTTCTGTTCTAATTCCTAGGCCTTTGTTCCTTTTTGAGCTGATTTTTTTGTGCATCTATATTTTCACTGTGACCCAACACATGAGGTCAGATGTGGAATTTCCCACTTGTGGCATCCTATTGGTATTCAAAAAGTTTCAGATTTTGTAGAATTTCAGATTTTGAATTTTTGGATTAGGGATGCTTCAACTGTGTTTCTAGGGTTACTATAACAAATTGCCAAAAACTGGGTAGTTGAAAAGAAGAGAAATTTATTCTCCCACATTTCTGGAAGCTAGAAGTCTGAAATCAAATTGTTGATAGGTCTGGTTCCTTTTTGGAGGATCTGAGGGACAATCTGTTCCTTGTCTGTTCTTGTTTCTAGTCCTTGTAAAGGATTCTTTGCATTCCTTGGCCTGACACAAAATTCCAGTCTCTGCTTCCCTCATCATAAGTGCTGTGTCTCTTGTCTTCTTTTTTTTAGCTGGCCATAGAAATGACTCTCAAAGTAATTGTGGTGCCTTTGAAGGGGTAGTCCCTGAATCTCCTCAAATAATATGCTGCCCCTGAGAGCAGCTGAGCTCTCCCTTTGCCTGTTAATATATGGATGTTCACCATTGTGGCTGGATAGGGGCGGTCTGCACCCTGCACCAATCCTTGGCTGTTATGGCCAAGTCCTTAGTTGTTATCCAGATATTGGGCTATCATTGTCTTGGGTGAATCTGTACCACAGACAGACACTCCTGGACACTGACTTCATAGGCCACTTGCTCACCCTTTGAACCCAACATCAAAAATCCTTATACTACTAAATACTCCAGGTGGGTCCACAGGGAGGACAACATCAACTTCCCTTGTACACTGTACTGAGAATCCTGGGGTGAGAAGTGAAGAGAGGAAGAGGGTCCAGGGTGATTCAGGACTTCAGGGATGAAGGCCCATTTGGTGTGTGTATAGGCACTCTAACCACTTGTAGGGACCAGCTTTAAATTTACATTCCAATTGGCTCAAGCCTGCATAGTTGTGACCAAGGCAGAAAACCTGTTGGATAGTCTGTTGACCACCATGATGCTCCACCCTCACATCTGTCTGTTTGTAGGAGGGGCATGGCAGTAGCCCCACCACCAGTTCACTCACTGGGCTGGGGTTGTCCCCCAAGATGATGGCCAGTGCCTTCCCTGCAGTTGTGGGGGCCTCCCTCTATCCAGGTGGGCCAGGGCTGCAGCCTTGGGAGGCAGCTGCAGCTCCACTGAGAAATGTGTCCCTTCTCTTCTATGAACAAGGGTGGTTTTGGATTATTGGTGTGCTCCACTCCAGTATGAGCTCTTCTTAACTAATTACATCTGCAATCACCCTATTTCCCAAGAAGGTCATATTTGGAGATCAGGCTCTTAACAAGTCTTTTCTGGGGGACACAATTCAACCCATAGCATTCACTAATCTCCAAGGGAATATGTGTTCCTTGTCAGACTGCTGAAGCTTCTGGAGGCCCAATTATTGCTTCTTCAGGACTCAGCAACTCAAGACGTGCTTTTGCTTATTGGAGCATTTGACAGGCTTAGGCTTTCCAATTTTTACTGTCGAGGCAGGGCACCCTCTCGTCTTCCCACATAGCCTTTAGCAGATATGGGGTGTCCTCTCTAAGTGAAGGTCAGTGAGGCAGCGACCTTTGAGCGAGGGGTCATGGCTTGGTTTGGACGCTGTGTTAAGCATTCGATGTATCAGTCCTTTCGATAACCCTGTTAAGTAGGTATTTATATATTTAATTCCTATTTTATAGATGAACACATTGGGCTTTCAAGAGGCTAAATAACTGCCAGAATTATTATTTCTAAAAACCTGAATGGGCGGCAGAAAGCCCTAGACGAAAAGTTCCCCATTCTTCGTCTTCACGTTTTCCGAAGTACCCGGGATCTGGCTAATTCAGTCCATCTCTCAAGAAAACCAAATCTGGAACCTCAATTCTATTGATTCTGGGACGCGGTGCACACTCGAGTCCACACGCGGGGGCCCGCCAGCGCTCTTTTCTCCAGAAGCCGCACACAAAGCGGTTCCTTTCTGCGTTCGGGCGC